TAACATTTGAGGAATCTGGATGAAGGATCTTTGGGAAGTTTTGTTTTGTTTAACTATTCTTACACCATTTCCCTAAGTGTGAAATCGTGCCTCTCCCCACCAAAAAAGGGAAAAAAATTATGTGAAACCAAAATTATCCCCAAACTCATGGCTAAATTAGGGTTATGGGCCAGTTCAAAAGCATATGAAATAGTTGAGTGGTCCTCACATCTGCTGTAATGCAGGTCAATATTTTATTTTTGCTCCACTATTGTGATTTATGTCTCTCTTCTCACTTGTTGACCTGGGTTCACTCTATTCCAGATTTCCTGCATGTGGACCATATCCTGAGGGATTAGAGGGCCCTGAATACATAGATAACTACTGTGATTATTAAAACACCAATACTACTAGTATAGGCATACCTCTGAGATAGTGTGGGTTTAGTTCCAAACTACCACAATAAAACGAATATTGCAATAAAGTTAGTCATGACTTGTTTTGTTTCCCAGTGTGTATAAAAGTTATGTTAACACTATAGTGTAGTCTATTAAGTGTGCAATAGCATTATGAAAAAGTTTGAAATATTGTGAGAATTACCAAAATGTGACATATGAGACAAGAAAGCACATGCTGTTGAAAAAATGATACTGATAGATTTGCTCAACGCAGTGTTGTCACAGTTTTCAATTTGTAAAAACACTGTTTCTGTGAGTGACAGTAAAATAATGTATGTCTGTAAAAGTATTATGGAATGTATAGGGATGTTTTGTATTAGATACAAAAAATTTCTGGGTCAGTAGATACCGAAAATGTTGCTACCATCCTGATGTGGAGAGTTTGTCTTAAAATACCGTGACACTAATAAGGAGCCTTTAAATAGGTGGGGTCCACTACTCTACTCCAAGAGCCTGAAGCAAATTTATCTTTCAAAAAATATTTATTTTGTGTCTTTTAAATTATAAAAGTAACATGTTCATTGGCAATAATTTTGAAATACTACGAAAGTATAAAAAAAGAAAATAAAAATTCAGCTGTCATAAAAGAATGTATGTTCTAGGCCAAAATCGTAGCTCAGTCAGCTCTGCCACAGTGTGACATTGGGTAAGTTACTTAACCTTTCTGAGCCTCATTTTCCTTATCATAAAATGGGAATAATAAGAGTATCTAATTTCAGAGTTGTAAGGATTAAGTAGTAGGATGAAAAATATGAAGAATATTTTTTATTACATATTATCCTTAATTATATAGTCAGATAAGTTACATACTAATTGTATTGATATATCATAATTTATATAACTGTTTAGAGTACTTGTATATATAATACTGTGATGGACAACTTTATACATAAACATTTTTACATACCTCTAGTTAATTGCTGCACAATAAATTTCCTATAGGTGGAATTATTGGGTTACCTGTTCACCCACTGCCATCGAGTTGTCTCTGACTCATAGCAACCCCTCCTTGGGTTTCTGAGGCAGTATCACTACGGAAGTAGATTACCCAACCTTCCTTAGGTGGTGTAAATATTTTTAAGTCTCCTAGTACATATTAGGAGCTCTGGTAGCACAGTGTCTAAGGCTTCTGACTGCTAACCAGAAGGCTGGAGGTTCAAACCCACCAGCCACTCCTCAGAAGGAAAATTGAGCAATCTATTTCCATAGTGAGATCACCTCGGAAACCCAAGGAGGGGTTGCTATGAGTCAGATCTGACTTGACAGCGTTGAGTTTAGTACACTTTAGGGAGCTCTGATAGCGTAGTGCCTAAGGCATTTGACTGCTAACCAGAAGGCTGGCGGTTCAAACCCACCAACCACTCCTTAGAAGGAAGACTGGGCAATCTACTTCTGTAGTGATACCACCTTGGAAACCCAAGGAGGGATCACTATGAGTCAGAGCCGACTCAACGGCAATGAGTTTAGTATATATTAAGGACCTCTGGTGGTGTAGTGCCTAAGGCATTTGACTGCTAACCAGAAGGCTGGTGGTTCAAACCCACCAGCCACTCCTCAGAAGGAAGATTGGGCAATCTACTTCCGCAGAGATAATGCCTCGGAAACCCAAGGAGGGGTCTCTATGAGTCGAATTGACTCAACGGCGGTGAGTGTTAAGGAGCTCTCATGTTATAATGGTTAAGGCATTGGGCTACTAACCAAAAGGTTGATGTTTCAAATCTATCAGCCACTCTGTTGAAGAAAGATAAGGCAGTCTGCTTCCATAGAGATTTACAGCCTTGGAAACACAATGAGGGTCACTATGAGTGAGAATCAACTTGATGGCAGTGAGCGGATTTTTTGGTAGTACATATTGGCAAATCCTTTTGGAAAATACTTTAGCAGTATATGTAAAAAGTCATTAAAAAGTTTATACTCCTTGGCCCAGGAATTAAGGAAATAATTTCATAGAAGAAAATAGTGACATTATGTAACTTTTGTAGTAAATTTATAATAATGAAACCTGGACAAAATTTTCATATCCATGAAGTGGGAACTGGCATCAATATGATAGAATTTCATATCACTAATATGAAAGTGATAAGTAGAACCAAGGAATCGAAAGTATCTATGTGAGAAATGTTTGAAAAATCTTGAAGGTTAAATTGAATTTGAGTTATGATTATACAGTTATAAAATAACTGTTTATGTGGTCAGAAATTGAGAGAATATGAAATGAAAATAATTGTTATGTAAGGGTGGTAAGATAAGGTTATGGTTTTTATCTCAGATATGTACACTTGAACAAAGTTTTATCACTTTTTTGGGCCTTTTAGTTGCATATTTTAGTTAAGACACTTAGCTTTTTAAAGGATTATATGGTTGTGTAAATGTGTTCAATGTACATGATTGGAATTATCTTCTGTATCTGTGTCAATTGGTTTCTCTTCTCTTTGTTGAAGAGGGTCTGTGAGCTTGTCTGTCTTTTCTGCCATCTTATTGTAAGTCTCTTAGTGCACATGATTGGGAGACTCAGTGAAGAGGGCCCTCTTTTTGGCTGACATGCTGAGGGCATTTATGCAGGTAGTTCTAGCAGGGAAAGAGACCTGAGGAAGCTACCTTGGTTGCTTAAGTTGTCACCTACTCATTTATCCTGGTGAGTAATTCCAAACACAAAGAAGACTCAAAGGGAACAAGTGCATAAGGCAGGGAAACCAGTTGATAGTCATTTGTGTTGTTTAAGCCCAGACATGAATGGCTGAAGGCAGCTGTGGTAGGATGGGAAGGGTGGGCACAGGATTTGGTGTCAGAAGGTCTAGGTTCAGTGCCAGTTCTGCTGTTTATTGACTATAAGCAAATCACTTATCTTGGTTTCTTGGCTATAAAAATGCAAGTGATAATAGTAATAGCTAACATTTACTAGACCCTTATTATGTGTCAGGCACTGTTCTAAGCACATTACACAGCATTTTATTTACTCCTCCTAACAACTCTACATATGGTGATACTGTTATATTATCTGTTTTACAAATAAGAAAACTGAAGCTTAGAGAAGTTACTTGCCCAGGATCACACAGCTAGTGTGTGGAGATGCCAAATTTTTAATGTTAATATGCCTCTTGTGAGGATAATGATGCTCAGGAAAGTGCATTGAGAATTGTGAGACAGTTATTATTTACTTTATGGGTAGAACACCTGCCAGCAGTGATTATAGCACATGAATATGCTCAAATGGTATGCAAATAACAAGGAGACAAGAGTGGGGACAGGGGAAGAGGATAACTCCCCCAGACATGCTTTAAGGCAGATCCTCTAAAGGGAGACTCCTTAAGGACATGATAGAATATCTTTAGAGTCTCCCCAATATTTATTATGGAACTACTTTGCTCCAGATCCTGACCTAGGTCTAGTCACATTACAGTCTCTGTAAAAAGAATTCTTTTTCCTATTCTGGGATTTTTCAAGCTATTCTGTTAGATAACCTGATGGTGCTTAGAAGACCAAAAGCAAATTAATTTCATACCTCCCAAAAAGGTAGTCTAGCAATTACATTTTGCAGAGTTGGGACAGTTTTGGGTTTTGTTGTTATTGTTTATTTGTAATCAAATCAAAATACTAAGAAAATGTTCTGATAGGATAACAAGTCTTTAGGTATTATTTGGGAGAGGAAATAAACTTCTCCAAGTAAGAGCCTACAAAGCCAGGAGTCTAGAGAGGTACTATTCATTCTGACTCTGCTTTTTCAAAAGTCATTAGTGAAACACTCTCTCTTCATAAGATCAGTTTGATTTATCTTCTGTTGTCCAAAAGTATGGAGTTAGTTTAAAATTCATTCCTTATTTTGAGGTGGAGAAGAAGTAGAACACTGCCATTAAGGATCAAGCCCAGTTTTAATTTCTGCTTCAAGTCTCAGCTGGAAAAAATATTATTGAACTTTTGGGGTGATAAACTGAACTTCAGAGGTATATGTTTTAGGGAAATCTATTTGTATCTTGCAGACATAGAGGATTCCAAATTTGAGAGGTTTCTTGCGGCCCTTTTTAAGTGGCTCTTACGTATTTTACATTTGTACATGGCCTGGTCTGTTGTGGACATTTCATTAAAGTTTGACGAATGAGTTGACTTGTGGTTGAAGATGGATGGGTGTAGTAGAAGGGGCCTGGGTTTTGCAGTGGTCTTGAGTTTCATTCCCAACTTTATTCATCATCACTGGGCAAGTTATATTGTGACCTTGGTCTCATAATTTGAAAAATGGGGTTGGTAATACCTGTCTCAGTAGATTATTGTAAGAAATAAGTAAGACTAAATGCCTAGCATGGTGCAGGATTCATAGGAGACACTCAATAAATTTTAATTCTTGTCTCTTCCTTTGGAGTCGCTAGCAGTGCCACCAGCCCAGAATCTATCCTTTAAGTCTACCCTCTACCCATGACGGTGAGAAATAGAACAGTAATTTATGCCACTGGATTGAGCCAAAGCTATTTTCAGCTCTTGGATTGTATGGAGATGCCCAGATACAGCTGTATGCTTTTTCAGAAACCAACAAGAAGAGATAATTGGAGCCTTTTTTCCCCTCCTCCACAGGGCTGTGCTTAAGAGTAAAACTTCAGCGGTGTTTACCATTTAAACATAAGGTAAGGAAGATTGACTTTTTGTTGTTGTTGTTTATAATAGTTTCATTAAGATACAGTGAACATACCATATAAAACCAAACTCACTGCCATTGAGTCAGATCCAACTCATAGTGACCCCTCCTTGGGTTTCCGAGGTGGTATCACTACGGAGGTAGATTGCCCAACCTTCCTTCCAAGGAGTGACTAGTGGGTTTGAACTGCCAGCCCTCTGGTTAGCAGTCAGATGCCTTAGGCAGTACGTATGCTACCAGAGCTCTAAACTGTACAATTCAGTGCTTTTCAGTGTATTCACAGAGTTGTACTGTCACCACTATCAGTTTTGGAACATTTTCATCACCCCTGAAAGAAACCTTGTGCCCATTAGCAGTCACTCTCAATCCCCCTCATACCCAATCCTCAAAAACAAAAAACAAACTCACTGCCATTGAGTCAATTCTGACTCATAGTGACCCCCATTGGGTTTCCAAGGCTGTAAATCTTTGTGGAAGTAGATTGCCCCATTTCCCTTCTATGGAGTGGCTGGTGGGTTTGAACAGCTGACCTTATGGTTAGCAACCAAATGCCTTATCCACTATGCCACCAGAGCTCCTTTATACCCAACCCTAGTCAACAACTAATGTCCCTCTTTTTTTCCATCTTGTAATTAACTGAAGAAAATGAGTTGTCTACCCAAATTCTGGAATTCAGCCATTTCCTACAGTCTGGATTTTATTATTTTTTTTCCCAGTGTCATTTTCACATTCCTTTGCCCTTTATAATTCCATTAAATTGTAGTTAGATTAGGATAGTAGATCAGATTCATTGTTTCTTTTTTGAGAATACTCATTTCATAGGTGGTATTACATACTTCCTGTTGCCTCAGATTAAGAGACATGATACCTGATTGTCTTTTTGTGATGTTAAAATTGATTACTGGGTTCAGGTGTTGACAGCCTGATCTACTTATTATAAAGTTCCTTGCCAGCTTTTCATTTTATACTTTTAAGTCATTTGCCTAGCTTCATTATTTCATCCCCCCCAAAAAATCCAAACTCACTGCCATCGAGTTGGATCTGACTCATAGTGACCCCTCCTTGGATTTCTGAGGGGGTATCACTACGGAAGTAGATTGCCCAAGGGATGGCTGGTGGGTTTCAACTGCCAAAGTTCTGGTTAGCAGTCAAATGCCTTAGGCACTATGCCACCAGAGCTCCTTTCATCAGGGGTTTTTAAAATAGTGATATTCTATCATATCTTCTTTATTAGCTGAAATTTCCATATAAAGGAAGAACTTCTCCTCAACAGCTGTTTGGTTCCTCTGAGGTATAGTTCATATAAGAATAGCAGGGCCAATGCTCGAGTCTTCCCCTTTACTTATCATTTTTCAGAATAATGATTCATGATAACTATAAACCAAAGTAAAGGAGTACAGAGTGATTCTGTACCTGTTGCTCTAGAATAGGTCTAGAATAAGAGTGAGCACATTATGCCTCTGTTGTTGTTGTTGTTTGCCGTTGAGTCGGCCCCGACTCATAGCGACCCCTCCTTGGGTTTCCGAGGCAGTATCACTACGGAAGTAGGATTGCCCAACCTTCCTTCCGAGGAGTGGCTGGTGGGTTTGAACCGCCAGCCTTCTGGTGAGCAGTCAAGTGCCTTAGGCACTATGCTACCAGAGCTCCTACATTATGCCTCTAGGGGAATTTAAATGGTGTTCTGTCTTTTAAAAAAAGAATGAGCTACATCATCTCTAAGCTCTTTTCCAATTGTAATAGGTTATGATTATTTTCACTTATAAAAAGCATTTATCTCAGTGGTGGTGGTGTTATTTGCCATTGAGTCAAGCAACTTAGGCACTATGCTACCAGAGGTCCTATTTATCTTAGTAGGAAATAAGAATTTGTTCATATGCTCCAGTGTTCTCTGGAGAGTAAACATGCCTTCATTTATCAATAACATGCTTTATTTGCTAAATGTTTTGCAGTAATTTTGTATGTTTGCCTTAAAAGCTTTGGTTTGTCATTTACATTAGGTAGATACACTCCTTGGAGAGATCAGTCATGGGAGAATAGAAGGGCTGTGTATGCACAGGGAGACAGCTCAGAGGGCAGGAGTGCATGGGAGGGAAGGACACAGGGAAGAGGTGGCTATGGGGAGGAAGTGGGAAGAGAGCTATTGCATTGTGGGAAATTACAGTCAATGACACGAGACAAAGTATATGTGAACTGCTGTATGGAAAATGAATTTGTTCTTTAAACTTTCACCCAAATCACAGTAACAAATTATAAAAAAAAGCTCTGGTTTGTGGAGGTTAGCCAGTTTGAGGAGGTACAGCAGGGCCAGAAGGGGTAGCTTAACCAATATAATGTTGTTGTTGTTATTTGCCCTCAAATCGGACCTGACTCATAGCGACCCTTCCTTGGGTTTCCAAAGCGGTATCTCTACAGAAGCAGATTGCCCAACCTTCCTTCCGAAGAGTGGCTGGTGGGTTTGAACTGCCAGCCTTCTGGTTAGCAGTCAAGTGCCTTAGGTACTACACTACCAGAGCTCCCAACCAATATAATACTTGAGGATAAATTTGTCAAGGTAACAGTAAAGGAGAAAAGGAAGGTGCTGAAAATTAAATATATTGTGTTCCTGTTTTTGTAAGACAAACACAATGAAAAAAAACCTCCAACCTTGGTGTATGTGTGATATGTATGCAGGCATGCGTGTGATATTTATGTATACAGGTATATGTGTGTATGCATGTATATATGTGTAATCTGTAAGATTATGTGATATAGAGAAAAATATGGAAGAAACTACATTAGACTGTTAATGTGACTTTCCTGGAGGGTGGGGCAGGAGGAAGTTAGATACTGATTTGGGAGAAATAGGTAGAATCTAGGGGAGCAGCAGTATATCCATGAATAAAACAATAAGTATGAGATCTCATTTGTGTAAAACAATATTTGTGTGTTGTTGTTAAGTTCTGTTGAGTTGACTCTGACTTGTAATGACCCCATGTGACAGAGGAGAACTGCAACATGGGGTTTTCTTGTCTATAGTCTATATGGGAGCAGATTGCTGGGTCTTTCTCCTAGGGAGCCACTGGGTGAGTTTGAACCACCAGCCTTCTGGGTAACAGCCTAGTGCTTAACCATTGCACCACCAGTCATCCTCATACTTGTGTGTATATGTAAAAAATTAATGAGAATGCCCCCTACAGCCCTTCCCCAGGTGAGCAGAATAAAAAACTTTGCTAATTTTAGTCCTTATTTTAGAGAAGAATGTGAGGGCCTGTCCCTAAGTCTTTGTTGGTAGAGATAGGATTTGGGCTAACATCTCTAGACTCTTGAGTCCACCATGCATTCCACCTCACTTTCATGTTTGAATGTTTTAATGTTTGCTTTTAATATTTTTTCTTTCTAGTTGGAAATCTATATTTCTGAAGGAACACATTCAACAGAAGAAGACAGTAAGTGAATCTTGAGATAAAAAACAATGTCACGTTGCACTTAATGCTGGATATACATCCTTCTGCCAGCCACATAATACTTGCAAAAAGTGCAAAATCAGTTCTTAGTGTTTTTTTCACAAATGAAGAAACCCAAGCATTTCAAGGAAGTAATTTTTTTTAGGATTCCATTGTGAGACTCTGACCCTATGGATGTTGACTGGTTTAGGCCAGTGGCTGCACATCTGTAAAGAATATCTGGCTCTAGGGACCTTGACCTATGAGTTCTGAAGAGGGCTTGATTCTTTCCTTAGTGACAGGATAGAGGTGTGTTCTTGATGTGAGTGAATTTGATGGGTCCTAGAAGGTCTAGCAAGTAAAGTTTTCGGGAATTTTGGGGTAGATGTTCTCTGTCTGGGTTAATGTATCAGATGAGAGAAGGGAACCTTTTTAATATAGAGGACCTCTGGTCTACAGAGAGAAATCTCTACTACTTAGAAACAGCACAGGCAAATAAAGTTTGGGAAAAGCAAAAGACATAATGTTCTGTATGACCTACTTGTTATGTTAAAGACAGAGAACAAATTTTCATCTGATACAGAGCAAATGATGAGAAATATGTTTAAAATGCATGTTGTGTCTTAACTTTCATTGCTAGATAAATTGAAAACTTGGGAAAAGATAGCAGAGTAAGCGAAGAAAGACAATGTAATAGAGTAAGATCAAAAGTAAGATAGGTACACAGAGTTAGACAGTCACTCAGAAAGGCACCCACAGGCACCCACACAAAAACACGTAGAAAGGAGATGCAGGGAGGGAAGTCCATCAAGATACTGTCATGAAAACTCTTAAAACATGTTCTATTTTCACGGTTCCAGACATGTAGATTATTTTACTTCGCATGGATTACAATTTATTCAAACCCAATAAGCTGATGGTTTCTACTTCTTACTTCAAAGAATAAAAGAATTTAGGTACTTCTATATCCACCCAGATTGGTTTTTTTTTTTTTAAATTTAGTAACTAATTCTTTATTGAGTGCTTTCTATCTGTAGGCACAGTTCAGCCTTTGAGATACATCCTTGTCTTTGTGGAGCCTGTGTGGTAGTAGGAAGAAACAGAAGGAATTGAAATTGTCTAGATAGGGAGATCCATATACATAAGATAGTTTAGCAACATCCCAGAAAAGTCAGTCTGTGTTGAAAATATAGGCATTTCTCTTTTGAAGTCATCCATCTGAGAGTGCAATTAGTGAATTATAGGCAACAGATATTTTTTATATTCTTTATTATATGGCTGAGTTGGGGGAAAAAAAAATTAAGAATTAAGAAGTAGAAACTGTCAAGTTTGAATAAATTGTAATCCATGAGAAGTAGACTAAGAGGAAGAAACATGAACGGAAAAAATCATACAAGAAGAAATAATAAAAATAAACAAACATAGGAAAATAGTCTCACTCTTAATCCAGGAAATACAAATTACAATAATAATAATATGAAGTCATTTTTTCACATTTGTGTGTGTGTATTTATTTAAAGGTGCTTGTTGTTGCATAGTCATCATAATTAATTTAGAATGTTTGTGATCTTTGCTGTGTTAAATAATCCTGTAGTTTTGAAAATGTGCTTAAGGGAAATACAGCAGTTTTCAAAACTTTATTAACTCTGAATATAACAATGTGAGGATATATATATATATGGACAAAGACTGGAAAGAAAGTAAGTACTTGTGGCAGAGTTGTAGGATTATGGGGGATTTTTTTTCTCTTAAGTTTGCCTTCCAGAACTTGGGAATTGTATTATGAGTAATTAGCCAACAACAGCTTCGTTTAAGCTCTTAAAGAGTTAAATAGCAGCGTAACTGTTTTACCAGGCTAATAAAATACTGTCTGTCCCTATCTATTGATACAGTTTTGCTAACTTTTGTCTGTGTATTTTGCAGTCAACAAGCAGATAAATGACAAAGAACGAGTGGCAGCTGCAATGGAGAACCCCAATTTACGGGAAATTGTGGAACAGTGTGTCCTTGAACCTGATTAGTAGCTGTTTTAAGAGTCGTTGAACTGTAATTATTTGATAGATTTGTTTAAACTCTTTGTAAAATGTAAAAGACTCATGTTTAATAACTAGGTGATTTGTACCTCAGAAGATTTTTTTTAAAGGATCATTTCCAAGCAAGATTTAATTATAAGGTAGTAACTAGTTTGTTCAGTGGATAACATTCTAAGGATTTATAACAATTAAGTGATCAGACAGAGAAATATTTTCTAGTTATTATGTGTAAGATGAGTTGCTATTTTTCTGATCCCATTCTGATAGAACTACTTTTCATGTCAGATTGCTACTCTGCCCAGATATATTAAATTTTAATCATTATTCTGTGAAATAAAAATAAACAGACGATTCTTGTAATGATTCATTTTAGAATGTTTTTATTCAATAGTAGATTTCATTGTAAATGTCAGTTCCTTAAAGATACTTCCGAAGCTTTATTTTTGCTGATTATATAGAATCAGAGATACGAGAACCAAAAGGGACCCTTAAGAGATCATCAGGTCTAGGGCCTGCCTTCCTTCAAGGAGAGTCCTGGACCCATTTATAGATGAGGAACAGATACGGAAAGGCCAGATGCACATCTGATGTTGAAGATCAAAATGTTCCCTCAAAAAGTTTAAGTTAAACCAATCTAAATTCATACTCTGTTCTTTATTTGTAGTTTGTCGGTTTGTTTTAGGGGATTTTGGCCATTTAAGTATAAAAAGATTTGGTAGGCAGTTTCCAAGATGGCCCCAAATGATCCTCGCCTCCTGCTACTCATGCCTTTGTTTAGTTTCTTTCCATATTTAATTAGAGCTGGTTAGTGTGACCAGTAAAGTACAGCAGAGGTGAAAGTGCATGATGTGTGAGAATATATCATAAAAGGTGTTGCTATTTCTACCCTGGTCTCTTGTATTACTCATTCTGTGGGAAGCCAGCCACCACGTTGCAAGGCCACTCAGATGGCCCAGTGGAGAATTCTACATGAAGAGGAGCTCAGGCCTCCCACCAAAAACCAGACCAACTTGTTAACCACGTGAATGAACCTCCTGGGAAACGGTTCTCTAGCCTCAGTCAGGCCTTCAGGTAACTGCAGGTCTGGCCAACATCTTGACTGAAACCTCATGAGAGCTCTTGAGCCAGAACTGCTAGCTAAGCCATTCCCAAATTCCTTACCCACAGAAGCTATGAGAGGTAATAGTGTTTATTGTTGTTTTATGCCGGTTTTGGGGTGATTTGTTATGCAAGCATCAGTAACTAATACACAAGTTATTATAATGGAACTCTTCTTGCCTCAAATTTAACTGAGGATCCCGCAGAGCAGGAGAAGCTATTCTAATGCTTTTGAACTTTGTCCACTTCAGGAGTATGTTTTGGAGGAACAGAGAGAATTTTGGCAAGGAGATTGATGAAGAGGTTTCTTTGGCTAAATCTGTTGCTATGCTGTTGTAGCTCCATTTTGGCAGAAGGGTGGGGCTATGACACCTTCTACCACTGTCTGCTAAAGGGCGTTTCAAGGGGACAACTCAGAGAGTTCGGAAATATGTCCTCCGCAATTGGGAGACCCAGAACACTGATGTCTGGCTCAGGCCTGAGAAAGAAAGCAGATGTGGGCTGAAGGCTGTGGTCTGACTCCTCCCTAGGAAATTGAGAGGGTAAGGGAAAGGCCAGGCTAATTACTTTCATGGCAGAGCCCTCATGGTAAGGAATGCATGAATATTTCTCATGGATCCTGCTGTTGGGTCATATTTGACTGTTCAGTAGGCCATCAATAGGGCTAAAGAGACCACAGCAGAAAGGGTCTAGATGTGTCCTGCCTGTTGCTCAGTGGTTGAGGAGAGGACAGCAAGTGAGCAGCCAGGGTAGAGACATATTTGCCAGGGTCAAGGGCATAGCAGAAACCTCTGATAAGCCCATTAAAGTGCTATCCCAAGAGAAGGAACCAGCTCTCATCACCAGGCAGGCCCAGAGAACAGAGTGCCAACCAGCTAAGGAAGAACTGCCCTACCTCCTTAGCTCCTTGACTTTTTGAGGCAGTGGTAGAATAAATAGCAAGCAGGGAAGTTGAAGAAGGGGTGAGAAGAGAGCGCAAAGAACTCCATCCCATTTCTCCATTGTGGGTTTCCAGCCCGAAGCAAGCTCAAGTTAACAAAAGATTTAATGCCAAGTTTATAGTTTTGACTATTAGATGTGACTGGATACTTTGATGAAATGAGATTATATGATTAAAAGTAGTAGGAGTACTTACCTGACAGAAGGCATGTGTCTGCCCAAATCTTCATCCATGGGCAGAGGAAGATCATGCTCCCTCAACAGAGTTTAAAAGGATAATAGGAGACAAGAGCAAAACTAAATTTTTTGTGATAAAATACACGTAACAAAAGAATTGCCGTTTTAACCATTTTTAACTGTACAATTCAGTGACATTAACTGTACCATGTTGTGCTATCTGTTTCCAAGAATGGAATGGTTCTTGATGTCATCCCACAGTTCCTCTGGTTTTCAGTCATTGGTGTTCAGTGCATCAAATCTGTTCTTTAAATTGCTTCTAAATTCAGGAGGAATGTTATCAAGGTCATATTTTGGCTCTCATGGATTTGTTTTAATTGTCTTCAACTTCAACTTGAATGTGCATACAAGCAGTTGATGAACTATTCCACAATCAGCTTCTAGCCTTGTTTTGGCCAAAGATTCAATTTCTCCATCTCCTCTTGTCACAGATGTAGTCAGTCTCATTCCTGTGTATTCCATCTAGTGAAGTCCACATGTGTAGCCATCTATTACATTGTTGAAAAAGATGTTTGGAATAAGTTGGTCTCACAAAATTCTGTCATGGGCTCTCCAGCATTATTTCTATCACCAAGGCCATATTTTCCAACTACTGGTAAGTCGTCTTTATTTCCAACTTTTGCATTCCAGTCACCAGTGATAATCGACACATCTTGATTGCATGTTTGTTCAATTTCAGACTGCAGAAGTTGGTAGAAATCTTCAATTTCCTTATCTTTGGCTTTGGTGGTTGGTGCATAGATTTGAATAATAGTATTAACTGGTCTTCCTTGTACCAAACCAAATAACCAAACTCACTGCCATTGAGTTGGATCCGACTCATAGTGACCCCTCGTTGGGTTTCTAGGCGGTATCTCTACAGAAGTAGATTGCCAAATCTTCCTTCTGAGGAGTGGCTGGTGGGTTTGAACCGCCAGCCTTCTGGTTAGCAGTCAGATGCCTTAGGCACTATGTTACCAGAGCTCCTGGTGTTCCTCTAGGGGTATGGATATTTTCCTATCACTGACAGCATTGTACTTCAGGGCAGATCTTAAAACAGTTTTTGTGACAATGAATGCCACACCATTCCTCTTCAATTTGTCATTCCCAGCATAGTAGATCATATGGTTGTCTGATTCAGAATGACCAAAACCAGTCCATTTCAGCTCACTAATGCCTAGGATAGCAATCTTTATGCATTCTGTTTCATTTTTGACAACTTCCAATTTTCCTAGATTCATACCTTGTACATTCCATGTTCCAATTATTAATGGATATTTGGATCTGTTTCTACTCATTTTGAGTTGTGCCACATCAGCCAGTGGAGGTCTCAAAAGCTTTAACTCTATCTGTATTGTTAAGATCATCTCTACTCTGCAGAGTCAGCTCTTCCCCAGTCGAATCTTGAGTGCCTTCCAACCTGATGGGTTCATCTTCCAGCACTATATCAGACAGTGTTTCAGGGCTATTCATAAAGTTTTCCAGTAATAGATCGGACAGTGTTTCACTGCTATTCATAAGGTTTTCACTGGCTAATTGTTTAACAAGTCAATGGCCTCTTCCTTCTTTGAGTCTATCTTAGCCCAGAAGCTCCACAGAAACCTGTCCATGATGGGTCACCTGGCTGGCATTTTGCAAGACTGGTGGCATAGCCTCCAGCCTCACAGCAACACGTAAGCCACCACAAGATGACAAACTGACAGACAAGTTCGTATTCCTTAGAGACCTAGGAGGGTATATATATAGGGCTTGAAGAGCAAGGCTGTCTTTCCATTCTCTTCCCATGAGGCTCCTGATACATGAAATTCCCATTGACAATGTCAGGTGGCTGGAAACTGTTGAAGTCAGAGATCCCTAGTTTATTCTCTCGCCAACTCCTGAACTTACTCACTGGCTTTCTCATCAATACGTATTGTTGTTGTTATGTGCCATTGAGTCAGACCCGACTCATAGTGACCCCTCCTTGGATTTCTGAGGCAGTATTACTATGGAAGTAGATTGTTCCATCTTCCTTCTGAGGAGTGACTGGTGGGTTTAAACCACCAGCCTTCTGGTTAGCAGTCAAGTGCCTTAGGCACTACACTACCAGAACTCCCAACAGATATTTAGTGAGCACTTTTTAAGTGCCACTTACTATCTTACATGCTGAAGATAACGAAGATAGACCAGCCACTGTTTCTGTCTTGGAGTTCATACTTAGTGATCTTGGCCTTTAGCCTGTTTCTGCTACAGACAGTATATAATGTAGGGTCAGTCTCTCCTAGTGCCTGAGCTAGTCCTGGCCAGGTAGATATGGAGGCTAGGCAGCCAAGACTGAAGAGAAAACCATGCTTTATGGACTATCTGGTGAGGACTCCGTTGAAGTGTAACCAGAAATGGGTGACTGCTGCAGGTGCCCCCATCACTGCTGGCCCTACTGCTCCTGGAAGCTGGATGTAACTGCTGTAGTCTCTCCTACTGCTAGAAAGATCTTTCCTTTATCCCTGCCTTTTTTTAAAAAACAAGTTTCCCTTTAGTTCATTTCACCTTCATTCAGTGGTGTAATGCAACCAAGTCACACAAACTCTGTATTTTGTGAAATTATGTTGGTAATTTAAAATTGACCATCCTGGAAGTATTTACACCATGGAAACGTGAATAATACAAGTCAAATGCTGTTTCATTTTTTTTTTTTAATTCTGGTTAGGGTGAAAATTTACAGAGCAAATTCACTTTCCATACAGCAGTTCACATATACTTTGTCTCATGACATTGACACAATGCAACAGCTCCCCTCCCACTTCCTCCCCATAGTTGCCTCTTCCCTGTGTCCATCCCTCCATGCACTCCTGCCCCCTGAGCTGTTTCCCTGTGCATAAGCAGCCCTTCTTTCTCCCATAATTGTTCTCTCTAAGGAGTGTATCTACCTCAGCTAAATGTTCAACTATACCTGTCTTTTGTTTGGTGTGGGTTCAGTTCCAGACCTGAAGGGCAGCTAGGG